TCACCATAAGAACACTATGGATCTTTTTGTTTATGATTGTTTGATTATTTATTTCATTTTTAAGCAAAATCAACAACATTCCTTTGTTTCAACTTCTTAGTTGTGAGTGTTTGCTTCTTTCAGACGAAACAAAAAGGAAATAGAATATTTTGACCTCACTTCTTTAAGTGGTGTTTTTATGTACAAAGAAAACAATGACCCAATGACCAGCGACCTCTCATAAATTCAAAACCAAACTGTGAATGATTCTACTTTACAGGCTTATGATTACTTAGTGCATGTGGATGTGGATTTGCATGTCTATGGGGTGGATATGTATTTTTACTGTGCTGGGGTGTTTACATATTTGCATAGGCATTTTTATTTCATTTGCATGCTGACTGGAGAAAAAGTCTTGTCTTGATGTTATAAGTCACAAAGGACAGTGTTGTGTTGTGTAGTCGTACCTCACTTTCATCTTCAAACTCCTTTGTAGCCAACTCCAGAATCCCAAACTTTCTCCTCTCTTTTTTCTTCTCTGCTTTCTCCAACGAGTTTGACTCTTCATCTGAGGAAGATAATGGAGAAGAGATCATACAATCTGCATAACATTTTAGTAAAACTGTAAAATGAGTCATGTGTCTGTTAACAAATGAAAACCTGGTTGTGGTGTTTCAGAGACGACAGTTTCTACGCTCTCCAGTTCTTCACTCTCTGCTGTCACACTCATTCCTCTGGCTCTCTTTGAAGGAGGTGGGTCTATTGATTTGTGTTTTTTAACAGCTGTTTTTGTTTTCTTTGCAGACTGAGAGGAGGACGTCAGTTTCTCAGCAGAATATGACCATCTGAGTTTTTTGCCGTAAGGTTCAGGCGATGATGACGCCTCAAGCTGCCTGCGCATTGGTTGATGCTCGGGCTGTTGTTCCTGCTTGGGGGAAGCCCCCTGCTTCTCCTTCTGCTTTTGGGGGGTAAAAGAGCTGAATGGGGGCTGCAGGGAGTCCTCTGGCACATTTTCATTCTGTGGAAACATGGTTGCTTGTGTCTCTTCTGCTTCTGGTTCTGTGCTATCAGCTGGAATAGGAGCATCTTCCTGCGGATCCACTAGAGGCTCCTCAGGCTGAGAGACGTTTGATGTTTCAGCTTCAACATGTGAGCTTGCAGCTGGTACAGGCTGATCATCTATCTACAGAAACACCAAAACTGATCATTTCAGCTAATTGTCAAATCACACACAAACATTATGTCATTGAATGTATGGGTTTAATACCTATAAAGTATACAGGGTGTACTTTGACTTTGGTGTTTCTTAGAAACAGTAAGCTCTGGTTTCTACTGCACCTGTGTTAGATCTGTCTGAAGAGCTTCTGGCTGTGGTGAATGTGAAGATTTTGGAACTTCTGTCTCTTGATTTTCCTCCTATAAACAGAGAAGAAGTTTCAGGCTACATGTCTATAAAAGATAAACTACAAACTATGAGTGGTCTGGGGGAATGTTAATAGAAAGTATGTTAAAAGGGCTGTTGGAATATACTGTATACGTTTTCATGATTGTCATAATAATAAGATTTAAGTCATAGTGTGTACAAAAGATTTATTAAAATGTGCTGCCCTCTAGTGGTTGTATCAAAAATACACTCTCACTACAACTTGTGCAGTACCACCCACACAGTTGCCAGATATTCTGAAGCTAAAAAGAAATTCAGGAAAATTACAATATTTACATTTTTATATGGCAATTTTATGCTTTACACACCAGATGGCATTTTTCATATAGCAACAGCCACAATCTAAAACACATAGATGACCTGGATGAAATGCAGAAAGAGGCAAGCCCCAAGAATATTCTATAACACAAAGTAAACCAATATGATACCACCATTTTTTTCTGCTACTAATTGGTTGCTGGCCACTTGTGGCACCTATGCTATATTGAAAGATGTCAATATACAATGTGAGCAGCTGCATGCACAAACCTACCTGAACCTAATTCTGAAAACAACATGTGATATGTAGAAACAGTTGACAACAACTTTCAGGAAAATGACCTTGGTTCCCACCTCCTCAGCATCAGACAGTTTCTTCGACAGTTGAACCCTATAACGATACTTCATCGACTGCCAGCTATGACTGGTCACATGCTGCTTCTGCATCTCCTGCCAGAGCCGGTTTCCCCCCGTCTCGCTCCTGTGCTTGCTGACATAACTCAAAATGGCTGCATCTTCTTCAGGGGTATAGGGAGCCCTGCCTAATTATAATGACACAAAGTATGTAACACTAATCAAACGCAAACAGAATTATACTTATTCCTAATGTGACAACAACTCATACAGGTAATACAAAAGCTGTGTACACATGACAATACAGAATCAATGGCAGAATAAATCCTGACAAAAGGAAGTGTTATGTGTTTGTATTGTACCTCCTGTGAGGCCAGAAGAACCCTCTTTGCTGAGGAGTCTAGCAGACTGTCTCGGGATGTCTTCAGGATTTAACCTGTAGTCCTCAACGTTTAAATGTTTACCCTGCTTGATACAGTCATAAATGTAATTGATGGACACATACCTGAGGAGAAAACAGACAGCAGCCTCATTTCTGGTTTTCAATTTTTTTAGATTGTTATAAATAATTAAAGCATTGTATTTCCTCTTAAAACTTTCTACTAGCATCCCAGTCCAGAACCTACCAGTGAGCAGCAGTTTCAGGAATAGAGTCTCGTTCGTCTTGGTCAATAAGCAGGATTGCTCCTGGCTGCTGGACACTGCACATCATCCCTCCTCCAGATGTGATAAGCGGCTGCAGCTTGTGTTTGACGGGACCCGGTCTCAGGAAGAAAGACATGGGTTCACCGTCCACGGTCAAGAAGAGAGTAGGGGAGATATTAGATTTGGCCACATCCTGCTGTTTGGACGGCATGGTCATGTGTCACCTGGTGGAAGACATGAAATAACAGACAGTACTTAATACATGTTTATTGAATGACCAATGATAGACCACTAGAACCTGTATATCAACCAAAAATGAAAACAAAGAATCCAAGTGTCAAGTCATTTACATAATACTCACTAACGCAAAACCTTCAATGCCATGTGTCTAGTTCTGTGGCTGTGAGGGCCTAAATACTTGATCAATCAATTATTCAATCAGCCAATTTCAGGATGTTATACATGGAAAATTATTAATTCATATATAAAAGTAACAGACTAGTCACAGATGAAAATATTTGTTACTTAGTTGGAATCTTCCATAGCCAGTTAATTTATACAAACAGTTTGTTGCTCTAAAGTTACTTCTGAGCTTTGGTTACGAGTTATAAAGTTTTTGGTATACACATTATAAATATTTATAAAATATATATAAATTTAACTACACAACAGAATGTACAAGTAGAGCTGAAGTGATGATTGATTAAAATAATTGTTATGGATAAAAACAAACTTTTCAAGGTTCTAAACTCTCAAATGCATGTATTTACTATATTTTCCTTTCAATTATTTTAATATTTTTGTCTTTATTTTTAATCACTCTGACAAAACAAGCTTCTATTTACATATTGACATATTCCTTACTATTTAAGAATGTATCCTCAAGATATTTAATCAATTGATAAAAGAATTAGTAGATTAATCCATGATGATCCCCTATCCCCCATATTGCAGTGGTGGTTCACAACAGTGAAATCCTGCTTTTACAATGCATGATAAATAATAGTCCAGTGATAAATATGTCACATTAAATCAGTGTCACAAATGTGCATTTGTCCAATTATACTTTATCATAGCTAAATAACATTTTCAGGGTAAAACATTTACTTTTAACAGAGTAGTTATGGTTGTTTTACATAAGGATCCTAATACTTCTGATACTGAGTTGTTTTTAAGTGAGTAAACCTAATTAACAGCTATTAACTAATACAGAAATACTCTCACACAGAGCTGCATTACATTCGATTAGAGTGAACATTAACTCCGGTAAGAAGCTGAACATGTATTTGAGTTTTCTCAGCTCACACAGACAAACACTGCAGCAGGTTCCCCTCAGTAACATTAGCTCCTCTGCTTCTTTAGCTTCTTAAGCTTCTTTAGCTTCAATGTTTCCAGACTACAGGCAGACATTCAGCTCAATAAACTGATGTTATGTTTATAAAGAAGACGTCACAATGATCAAATACTGAGTTCAACGTTTACCGTGAGATTTCCCGCCGCGACAGGAACCAAAACACAGCCCACTTCCGTATTTCTCTTCTTCGTTGAATTGTTTCAAGTCAGTGTCTCATTACTGCCCCCTCTGTTCGTCTATAATACAACATACCCAAAAAACACATAACACTAGACACCCATCTATCTATCTATCTATCTATCTATCTATCTATCTATCTATCTATCTATCTGTCTATCTGTCTGTCTATCTATCTATCTATCTATCCATCCATTAATCTATCTATCCATCTATCTAACAGTGGAGTTTTGTTTCTTCAGTTCTTCAATGAACCAAAACATTTCAAAATGTTTCATATGCACTATTTCATTGTTGCTTTTCATTTTGAATTCATCCTGTGTTGATACAATTACCTCTTTAGGGCCAAAACCTAATTGAAGATATTTTCACTCCTTAAATTCTAACTTATAGACTTTGTGTGTTTGTGAAATACACAAAACACATATTCCAAGTTGCGTTGGGTCAGGAGGTGGTGGGAAGGAATTGGGCTGGCCTGTTTACTGGGTCACCTTGCTGACCTCACCTCCCTCACAGCCCTGACTGATTCATTATTGTTATTTGTACTCTCTCTCTCTATTGTTTCTCTCCCTCTGCATCCACTTACTCCCGAACCATCATCACACTAATGAGCTGATCTGTTGAGTAAATATCAGAGTTTTATTTTCCTTTTCAGAGAAAAATGAGCAATATGTGCGGTCGGGTCGACAAAACATACAGAATGACGTGGTTTGGTTATGACGGGAAACTCCCCCTGCTGTATGGCTCAGTGTTTATCTGAGACTGCAGAGGGCGTCACTGTACAACTAAACTCAACACCAGAGCTGTCAGTCAAACAACATCCTAAACCTTGATCAATGCAGAGGAATGGATTCATATTCTCACTGTGTCTGAAATGAAGTCCATCGTATCAAATATCTTTTAACAACCATCAGGAAGAATTAGCATTTAGAAACAAGTCGAGGAAACAGATCAAACCTCAAACAGGATAAAACATATCATTACAACAACACTCAAATCTTTAGCTCCTGATGGAATCACCATGGAGGCTCCTGAGGGAAACAGTTTGAGGCTCCAGTGTTGTGTCCCCTTGTTCCTGTCGGTGTGCTTAGGTAAAGAAACACTGGACCTCTAGGTAGAGATCAGTTGGTGAACCACAATAAATCGTCACCTTCATTTTTATGTCATGTGAGGCAGTGTCAAACTCTCCGCAAAGAATTATTTTCTCCTCTTCTCAGATTTTAGATTTTCAGAGTCAATACTATTTCTACAGATATGGAAAAAAAACATGTAAAATGGTCATAAAAGGAAGCTGCTCTGTGGAAGGGGTTTGAACACCAGAGAGAAAGAAAAGCATCAACCTGAGCGTAGAAACAGGAAGTCACCAGGACAAATATTTGGTACTTTGGTACTGTAGTTGTTCACAAACAACATGTACACTCAGTTCATTTTAATAGTGTAAAATTGGTTTTAAGACAGTTTGGCATTTTGAGAAATACGTTTATTCATTTTCTTTAGAGTTATGATCATAGCGCTCTCATTTGTGTCTTTTGAATATGGGCCTGGAGTTAGCCTTTAGATAAATAAAGGAAACATGGAGATACAACTCTGTACAAGATTTCCCTATAACATATCTCACAGTTCACAAATTAACACATTTCCTCATTAGTTTCATTACATGTCGGATAAAACTAGCTCTTTCCCTGTTACTGGCTGCTATGCTATAAGCAATGAGCTAAGATAAATGAAACTGTAACTTGCTACAATTGGAAATATTGTGTTTTAAACAGATTTGAACAAATACTGAGAGTCTACATCAGTTCTTTCGCTAGATGTGACACATAAAGGAATGTTGCAAAGTATGTTTCACCAGCAGTGACCTCATCTGAGTCATTACAGTTCAAGCAATACAAGGCGTTGCATCAACTTTCCACTCAGGTTGTAATTCATCATATTCAAGTTTAAATGAATCAGTGAATCACCTGATCCACCCTCTCAGTTAAAACCAAAGATACGGTGTTAGAAGAATGTTGGTGGGCGGGAGGACGCACGTGAGCTTTTTCCACAGTGTTGCAACTGAATCTGTCACATGAGGATGACTTAATAGATTCATGTTGGACTGATTAGCCACAAACCCAAATGTCTTTATTTTATTTTATTGTATTATCCAGAAAAGATTAGAAAAAAGAGAAAGCCATTATAACTTTAAGGAACTGAGATTTTCACAAAAAAAAAACTGATTCAGAACCAACTGAGGGAATGTTGCATTACAGTAAAAGGAATCAGTTTATGGAACATTGTCATGGATGTAAAGGGCTGTGTGTTGGCCCGCAGCTATTTTAATTTAAATTTTTTATTGTTATTTATTGTCTTTGGTCGATGAATGAAATAAACTTATAGATAAATAAATGTATTCAATCATTAGGTATAATATAAATTATGATGTTAATGTGTAAATGTTTTATTCTACAGTCCTTGTGCATTAAAATAAATAAAAAGCACAACGTAATACATTTTTAAACAAATGTTGTCATAATTGATGACAGTGCAGTATTTGTTTCAGTTGAAAACTGTAATAAAGGTTATTGAAAATAATGCTGATACATGGAGCTATATAAATATGTTTTATTACATTATACAACTACAATGATAATAATCATTTTACAATGGGAATATAAACCCACTCTGGTCATATCTCGGTTGAGCTAACAAAGTTTACCTCTAAACATCTCGAGTTTTTTTCAGTAAACCCTAAAAGAACATGTAGTGCCTTGATAAAAAATTCCTGAGGTGTTTTCTATGTAAACACCAGATTAAATAAAAATAATGTCTTATGAGCTATATTGGTCTTACAGTGGCAGGTGTATCATTTCACGCTCGTACAAGGAGACACAAACACATACCAGGTATCACACACTGGTGGGAGTCAAATTCCTCTCTGACACCAAAACAAAAGAGAATAAAAAATGAAGCTGCCGTTTTTTAAGGAGGCCGGAGAAAAAACAAAACTTCCTTGTGTAAATCAAAAAATGCTGTCTTTGGACTCGGCTCTGTGCGGACGGACAACAGCAGAAATATACTTTGTGAAAAATGATTTGGCAGATCGTCTCAGGAATCTTGGCAGGGATGGGTCAGCAGAGACTGGCCGTAACAAAGTGAGGATATGCTGACTCAACATAAAGAACACATTTAATTACCATCATCATCAGCCATCCAAGAGGACCATCCGGCCCCGAGCCAGAAACCCCCCACCACCAGCTGCCAATCCAAAAGTCTTATTTTTAGGGGCCTTGCTTCCAGCTCGTCTCTCTCTCACCACTGGCTTTCTCTCCTCGTCTCAGCTTTTTCACGACTCACACATGTATTCCTGTTATTCCTGATCACGTCTTAAAGTTCCCATCATTTTCTTGTTTGTCCTTATAACTAGAGAAAATGAGCCCACAGGGACAGTCAGTACAAGTATTCAGATTATTTACACTGTACTACATTATACTGGGAAAAATACTCACATGTTACATGTTAAGATCCTGTTTTTCACAAGTATAATGAACGGAATCAATCTTACAGAAAACATAACTAATGCTTTTAATATCTATCAACACAATGGACGACACAACTCTATCTATCTATCCATCTATCCATCATTCCATCACTCAAAAACCACAAACCTCACAGAAGGAGGCTATTTATATATTTCTGATGCCAAGAATGATCCATATCTGCTGTTTTATGTTATTTTAACAATGAACATTGTTTTGCAAAGTGTAACCTATGGTGGAATCGGGTGGAACTGAGAGATAAGATAATATAAAACCATACAAAAATATTGTGTTTGTTATGCAGCAGTAGAAAATGTGTCTGTTTCATGACCAAAAACAACTATTTGCTGAAGCTTCAGACAGAACGACAAACCACAAAAAGAATCTGTGGTTCATAAAATATGTCTGAGGGAAAAAAACTGAACTTCTTTCTTGAAAGAGACATTATCAGAACACAACTCTTTTTACTTGACTTTTTTTTTAGATTAAATCACTGCACATTTACATACAAAATATCCTACATGTAATGTACATTATATACACATTAAGTGTTGTTAATGTGGATTCTAGGTCCAGTTTATCCTGAAGACCTGAAGTATCTAATTTCAGTTTCCCCTGCAATTAGTATAGCTTGGTCTCAAATGTGGATTTAAATGAACTATGTAAAAAAAAAGCATGGCCTGAGGGAGAAAAAAAAATGTGTCATGCTTTCAATTCACTTTAGTTCTATTGAATTTTTAAAGCACCATATCACACATTATCTTAAGGTACTTTACAGAGTTAAGATAAGACCGTAAAACCAACATTTCCCACAGTGAGCAAACACTTGGTGTCCTGGGCCTCCTGCCTTAATTGGTGGGGTTGAAAGATGAAAAATGGGGGAGAGAGGAGGAAGCAGGGGAGAGAGAAGAAGGAAAGAGAGTCGAGAGTATTCTTACTCCCAGTAATGATACATTTTCAGAAACAGGAGAGTTTTAACTTTAAATGTAAAGAGCAGGGTGGTGTTGTGAAGTTTGCATGTTCTCCCCGTGTCTGTGTGAACTCTCTCCTCCCACAGTCCAGAGACATGCAGACTGGGGTTAGATTCATTGGAGACTCTAACCTGTGAATATGAGTGTGAATGGTTTGTCTCTGTATGTTGAACCTGTGTACCACGCCCCTCACTACATCCAGCTGGGAATGGCTCAAGCCTGTGACGCTTGAAAGAATGAGCAGTACAGAGAATGGAAGGATGGATGTGTGGAGGGTGTCTCCCTCCTGAAACCAACCTGGGAGCTGGTTCCACACGCTGGGACAGCTGTGTGCAAATGAACGTGTGCTGTGTGTTGAGGTGACCCGGCGTCTAAGTGTGATGTCATGAATTTCACTTGGACTCTGACCCTGCTGTTGCACACGAGTCCCTCTCCCTGTATCATATGTTTTTTTCCCAGGTCTCTCTGTAAATTGATCTATTTAAAAAAAAAGACAAAAGGTGAAGCTCCCTCGAAAAAGCATCAAAAAGACATTAAACAAAAAAAAAAAAAAGTCCCCCTCACTGCTCGCTGATCAAATCTGGATCCAGACTTTGCTCTTCCAGTTCCAGATGTTGCAATCGTTTCAACACGGTGTTTGAGTGCATGTGTGTGTTTGGTAAGAAACACAGAGGACAGCTGATGTAATGACCATAAAACAGATTTCCTGCAGTTTGGGTGACTAGTACGTTTTCGAAGAAGACTTGACTTGGAAATGTGTTTGTACGGTACATGTGCAAGTACATCCATATCACTTCAAGCAGGAAAGAGATTTCAAATAAAAAGTTAGAAAATATTTTATTTACAACAAATTTTTCCCTCAGTTGTGTTAAACCACCCCTTTGTCTGCACACTGACCCCCCCCCACAACAAAATAAAAACAAGACATCAGATTGGTCAGACACAGAAGACACTTTGTGTAGATACAACATCATTTCATTGTAAAAATGTATAGACAATAACAAGTTATAGAATTTAAAATAGAACTAAGACTGAAAAGCCAATTGTGCTTGACACACAATTGTATGAAAATAATACAAGTGAATATACATTATACATTATATGTATAATGTATATAATAATTTTTATATGGCTTTCATTTCACAAAAAAGTCAAACATCAAATCTTAAAGGAGGCATATTCTGCTCATAATTTTAATCTGGGTTATTACTTAAAAAAGTTTACACGCAAAGTTGCCACTACGGCAGCTGAGAAGGCCATTCTCTGTGCTCTTGAGGAACATCTTGAGATGGATTTTAAATACAGGCACGGTAATGACGGAGAAGTATCATCAGACTACTTGTTGATTACTGGTGTTTCAGGAAGCTTTAGGAGCAGTGTTTCCTGTGTGGGGGGGGGGCTCACTTTACCATGGGATCGGGCTTTTTTAACTGAATGCACTGTAAGAAAAACAGAAAAAGCATAATAAGTCTCCTTTAAAGGCACAATATGGTGTATACTCTTTTATATTCCAAGAGTGGACCTCATCGTGGCAACGTGCCCTTCGTTGGCCTCAACACTTTCTCACAGTTTCTGCAGGTAATTCAGATTAAAATATAAAACAGGCAATAATCTGATATCTGTCTTTGGATAGAGCTGATCAAAAAGAGATAAAATTCGCCCTGATGCGACAATAGAAAATGTCTGTGCATTGTTTGTGTGTGTGTGAGATGCATTTCTGCATCAGAGGTACTGAAGCATGTACACACTGCTGCTGCCTATGACGGTTAAAATGCAACATGTAAGCTGCACATGAATGACAGATACTGTACTGTGTGACGCAAGGTTTACAATATTCACAGTGATACATTTCTTCTTAAGGCCCTGGCAGCAGGCTGCGTCCAACATTCATGATTCTGTGCCTGAGCTTGCCAATAAGAAAGTCCCCACTCGCTCAGTTACTCAGCGACCCTCATCCTGATCGGTGCAATAGGTGGTAGTTTTGTATTTAAGTTGGCAGCCTACTCATAATGAAATATCCAGGCTCAGCAGCAGCTAAATGACTGCGAGCCGCAAGTTATTCACATGTTGCTGTCTAGACAAGATCTGACATTCACACTCTGTCTTTCTATCCTTGATTTCTCTTCCCCTGTTTTTCCTCATCCCTTTCTCAATTTCACTCCGTCAGTCCATCTGACTGGCTGCCTCCGTCGTTTTTAACACACAAAGAGCATCCATCTCAGCTCATGAGTTTTAAAATAAAAATTTCTCTTTTGTTTTTCTTCCCACTTTTTTGTCCTTTTCTTCAGTTAAGTTCTAATACAAGTCCTTCATGATCTCCTGCAGCAGCGGGTGTAAGCACATGTCCACCTCGGTCTTCTTCAGCAGCTGGATGAGGTGCACGTGGTCCGTGACGATCTGCCGCAGGTCGGTCATCTTCTGGAGCAGCTTGGCGAACAGCTGCAGAGAGTCTGGGTGGTTCAGCTTCAGCTGCAACTCCAGCGAATGAAGCACGGTCTCCTGAAGCTGCTCGATGGGTTTCACATTCAGAAGGCCTGGGCGGTCTGGGTGTGTGACAAAGAAATTGAGACACAGTGAAGAAAGGAATAAAAACACATGTACGGATCCATAAAGGAAGAAAAGTAGAAAGGACACACAACAAAGGAAGGTGGTCTACATGTGCAGATTTATGACGGGTGCACGTAACTAAACATTTAGCAGCTATTAGGTCAACATTTCTTTGAATAGTGAAGATGATCAGGCCTACCCTTGAATTATTGCTATTTACAAACCCTGTTATCTTTATTTCAAGCTATAATCTTCACCATTTAAGTTAATAATTGACTTAAATGTCATAATTTAACACTGAACAGGTTCAAGGCCAGAATTTTATCATTGTCATTTGACTATTCTACAGCAAAAACTTTCATGCCTCCAACTCCAAATACTTTCTTTTTAATATAAATCGTCAAAAATAGCACATGAAGATAAGTGTCTGTTCAATGTCAGTCAATAATTTGTTTGCCTGTGGAAGATCAATACAAAGTATTGTCTCCAAATCCCTGCTTTTTGCTGTATTTTGTTCTTACATGGTGCAGTTGCTGTTTAAATTGGTAAGACTTCATTTGTTCCATAACCCCATGCCTCCCTGGAAACGGATAAATAGGTCAAGGCTGACCAGAGATATTTTGTATGATACAAGGGGTTGATAACTTAAATCGTTAGCAGCCTCCACCTTATAGCACTTTACAATCAGAGTGAAAATACTTGATCTGATTTGACGTTTTGGCCTAGGAAATATTTTTGTTGTAACTACATTAAAAATATTACAGGCTACATTTCGATCTCTCTGCACTTTAACAAAGCAAAAATCAAAGAAATATTGTTTTCTTCTTTCTTGTCAAGAGATTTGAGAACAAGCCTTTATGCCATCCCAATATTTCAACCATAGACTTTATGGATGAATTGTCTCCACTCCCTTCTATTGCGCATAAATGAAGCTGAAATATCCTGGATACGAACACGGCCATCTTGCGCATTTGGAGCCAGTCTGAACGGAAGTGATCAGGGGATGGAGCCACAATATTTAGGTGCCACTGATACACACGCTCAGCTGTTAATCATTTTATTCCATTTTTACAACATAAAATAACTAAAACCAAACTCAGTAGAAAAAAATAAAAAATGAACATAAACCAGTATGATAAGAACTACTTCAAATGACTGAAACCCTCATTGAGAAAAATATATTTGTGGTGCATTTTGGTGCATTTTGTGGTCCCATTTGCTAACATGGAGGAGGTGAGGCTTATGATCTGCACAGCAGCCAGCCACCAGGGGGAGATCGAGACAGTTCGGCTTCACTTTTGGGGAATAGTCATGTCGTCCATCTTTACCTACGGTCTATGTTTACACCTGACCATGAAGCAACATAAAGTAAAGACTAAACATCACTAGCGTGTTCCCTAACGTTAATCTAGTTTGTTATATTTGTACTAGAACTGACAGAAAAACCATAAATGCTGTTTCTAAGGTAATTTCATCTGTAACAGAAAAACAAAAAACAGAGCAAAAAGAGTCACCCACCCCCGCTGAGGATAATGACAGCCAGAAACAGCGCCATGTCGCTGTCGTCCAGCTCGAGCGTGTTGAACTTAACGGAGAACTCAAACTTTGGTTCCATCATCTGACAGAAAGGTTTCCTGAGACTCTTGAGGAACTCCCGCGTCATGAAGATCTGTCCGTAGGAGATCAGGGTCCCGTCTTTGTTCATCAGAGGTGACATCATGATAATCAAGACCTCTATCACACCATACTTCAGCAAAGTTACCTGGGGACAGGGGAAAGGGTTAAGGTGATATTCATAAGATCCTCAGTGGATGATCCTCGACTGGTTTTAATGGTTCCTCTGCTCAGTGAAGAGAAACCTTTGTATCTCACCTGATCATTTAGATCCAGATCAGTGAATCCTGGGATACTCTTGGCGAACTCTGTCACTTCCCTCACTGCTTCAGCTGAGCGTGACTGACAGCTTTGGAAGAAACGTAGCTCCACAGCGTTCTGTGGTTCCTGTCCGCTGATGCTCGTCATTCCCCACACGCCATAATCTGACCCCATGTGAACTTCTGTGAGGCCTGTAATTTGAATAAAAATAAGTTTGTCTCTCTGATGAGGTTGTTTAGCTGCAGAGTTTGGAAAGAAACGAGATCAATTTGAGAAATGTAGTAAAACAACGATTCAGACTTTTTTAAACCAAAGTAATGGTGCCAGAGATTTGCAGCCCCCACTTTCCCTGGAGGTGGTTGAACTACACGAAAGATATTATATTAAGATGAATGTATATATCTTTATCTTTTGATACAAATATGGCAAAAATACATTATTTCTCGCGACTACCTATTGACTACATCAAATTATCTTATAAGCAAAATAGAGCATTGCACTATGCAATACAGTGCTTTTTACACTTAAAATAAGTCTTTAATCCTTCTGATGCATATTAACATGTCTTTTACGCTTTCTTTTCAGATCTTCAAATCATCCCCATCATCACAATTTTTTCAGATATTCATACAGTGAATGATGATGTAATCAAAATGGCAATTCTATTTGATTATCTGGTTATATTTCTCGATAAATAGAAAACTGATTAAAAACAAAATGATGCACACACTACTACAAACCTCCGTGTGCGGCTGTAAGGACAGAGGTCTGCTGCTGCTCCTGGAAGGGCATCTGCCTGCAATTAATGAACTGCTCTCCTTCCATTAGAGACTTCATGTCATGGATGACAAAAGGCTGGAGGTAGAGAGGAAAGAAAATGGAAGAAGGAAGGGTTAGTTTGTGGGACTAAGACAGGCCATGTTTGGAGGGCAGAAAAAAAAGAAGCAACGCCCATGTCCTCGGGTGAGCTACAGGTGTAATCACATACACTGTCTATGCACGTGGGTCATGGCTCATTCATCAATTGCAAAAGCAAACACTTCACATCTAACATGGGGCAAAGTAAATACATCTCATGTGCAGTCAGAGACAAAAACACAATTTCCAGGTAAATGAAGCTTAACTGCGTTAAAGTCTAAGTTTTGCTGTTTGGTAAAAGACATGCAGTGGCCTGAAGGATGAATAGTACCATTCATATACTTAAATCTTCCCTTTTCAGAGTGGTAACATGAATAATGACACGTCCTTCTTCCTGGATCTACACGATTATCCTCATGCACTCCAAAATTACATGGGTTCTTCTTTGGGTCATGCCTCATAAGATTTAATGGAAAAGGTAATCTATATTGCTTTATCCTTTCAGAGTCATGGGGGTTAGAGCCAATCCCAGCTCACGTTGGGTGAGAGGCAGGGTTCACCTTGGACATGTCCCTAGCCCATCACAGGGCCAACAGACATAGACAATTCACACATTCGATTTACAGTCTCCAAATAACCTAACACCAATAAAAAGTTCGTTTTGCTTTTTAAAATACACACATAAAATACAAGTCAATTTAGCAAACAACTGCAATTAACAAGGGTAACGCTACAACCCTTGTTCTTCCTTCACCTCTGATGTGTGTGTATGGAGTGCAGGTGGACTCAGCTCACATCAAGGCCTGCATGTTAAAAAAACATGTAAATATTCTGTGGTTCACTATATAATAGAGGACTCCCTTATGCAAACACACGATTCAGTGTCGTTCGTCTGCTATCACTCTGATGACCAGTCATAACAGGCAGACCAAAGAGATCCAGAGCAGCCTTGAACTTGAGCCTTATCAGAGAGAGAAGCAAAAGAAAAGGAAAAACAAACTTATGATACTGCTGCTAAAGTTGGTCTCTAAATGAAGAGCCTGCACTCTGATTGGCTGTGATTGTCACAGATTTGTCTAGATATTTAGGAAACTATCTTTGTTTCGGCGAGCCCCTCTAATCGAATCATTGAAGAGTTCAAACAACTGGCCACTGCAGATCGATTAATTGTTCACTGTTAAATTAACCAAACTTCAGGTAATAAATGAGATGAAACTGATCCAGCAGTTCAGATCCGGTAAATGTTGATGACCTGGAATCTAATTTAAAGGAATGCAGCATCCATGGTATGCGAGCTATTTTAAGTTCATACCTTCACCTTATGTTACGGCAAACCAGATAACAGGGGAAGTGAGCTCATGGCCACTAAAATTGAAATTACACCTGAAATGATCAGCTTAAATATGAAATACAATGTCCTGTGAATAGATAAATGTTGTATGTAATTGCAATTATGAACTAAATGTTTAATGTTTCCTTCACCACACAGTAATTAAGTAAGTAGAGGTAAAAATAAAAGTAAAGTAGAAGGCAGTGCTGCTTACTGCGTTGTCTCCGGTCTTCCCAGAGAGGATGGCTCTAGCCTTGGCCTTGGTGAGGGGGAAGTATTTCAGATAGGCCTCGTACAGATGGCGGGCCAAGGCCCTCAGATCTGCTGCCTCCGGGTGCATGTGCTCCATGTCAGACGAGAACTCAGCCAGAAGTTTCTCCTTCTCTGCCTGAGGCATTCGGCCAAAACGAATAGCTGGGAAAGAGCAACAGAAAAACACATTACAGAACACAAACAGATAAACAAAGACAGAGGCTGCCAGGCGAGGAAGATATAGGAGCAGGCAGATTGTTCAGCAAGAATAATCACACTGTAGATTCAAGAAACTGATTCTAGAGGTTACTGAACGCAAATGCAAACTGTCAATGTCAATTGTTTTTTATAACTGAGTCAAATAAGTGTTTTATTTGGAAATCCAAATTTACTGATCCACCCTTTTCATCATGAATTGAGATGTATGTATCAGTATCAGTATCTGATCTGTTAACACTCATCTTCAGAAGCCTTCAAAACAGCAGGGAACACTAACACCAATTTACAATGTTGCATTCAAATCCAAATCCTGCAGGAACACATCAAGCCAGTGTCAAAATGTACCACCACTTTACACTTTGCAGTATGCGCCTTAACGTTAGCCTTGTATAATTGCGTTGTTAAACCAATTAATATACTATTTCAGTAACGATTAACATAACAGAACTTGAATATTGTGTGAGTGAAATTATTGCAGATTTTTACTATTCTAGTTCTATTGCAGAGCTTTCTGGCTGTTTGCAATTACAGCTATGGTTGTTAAATGTCTTTATCAGATCTTTTATTATTTGGACAGCGATCAATGAATCAGGTTGATTATCTAATATTTAAAGAAATGACCTACTGCCTACAGCAAACTAATTATACCTGCAAGCATGAATGGAGTCCAGGGTGGTTGGCTGATCGGCCGATATGAGCCTTTCACAGACTTATCCATATCGGTGTTTGTTTTCCCAAACGTTTATTTTGCAGTAATTAAGTTTATTATTACACTGTAAAATATAAAGCCTCAATTGCACTTCTTTGTTTTTAAAGGTTCAGTGTGCAAGATTTAGGTGAAAGGGATCTATTGGCAGAAATTTAATTTAGAATAATAGTCATGATGTTTTCACTAGTTAGTTTCATCTAAATTGTATGAATTGTTGTTTTTTCTTTACCCTAGAAAAGGCCCTTTATATTTAAATTCTTTATATTTACTTCGAGGGGGTCTTCTCTACGGAAGCCGCCATCTTTTTTTGCAGTAGTCCAGACTGGACAAACTAAACACCTTTTGAGTTTTTATGAAAACTGAAGCTACCACAGGTTCTCTTTCATGTTTGGAAGGGGAGGGTGAGGTGAGAAGTGTTCAGCTGCAACATGAAATTTAACCACTAGATTTCACTCAATTCTACACACTGTATCTTTAAGGGATTTATAAAGACTTATGAATAATGAATTAGAAATCATTACCAAAATCTTTTAAAAAAAATCTCTTATAAAAGCTTTATATTGGAAGATATATCGGAATTAGTATTGGTATTAGCGTCACCCAAAAATCAGTTGGGCTCTAAAAATGAATGACTTTATAGTGTGGAGCAATTTATTTCAGATGGACAAAGTATTTATCTTGCTGTTGCTTAAAAAGACTCTTGGGACTCTTTCTCTTAACTTATCTTTTCATAATACCAGTGTTTAGTAACTTTCAACTTTCAACAGCACATTAAAATGAATTTTGAAATTCAGATACAGGAGATCTTGAAATGGAAAGATTCCCAGACATGTGTTAGGAAAGATTTCGTAATTTTAAAAGACTGTACTCTCCTCGTAACACAGCAGAGCTCATTTCTCTCTTAAATGACTCACACACAACATCAACACATTCGTCGTGGGATTTTATGAGGTGTGTCAGATGAAGCGATTACAAAATGTGGTTTACCCTAATGACAATGTTATTATGGATCATTGAAAACCTCAACACCTGAGAAACTCTCGCATACAGTTTAAAACAAAGTCTCCTCCTCTTTCCACCTTCGCCCACTGATAATATACACTGCGTTTGAATAAATACCAATGAGCCTTCAACTTTTTTCTGTCTATGATTAGCCACATTTTGAAGGATCTATTTTAGATTCACTATATATATATATATATATATATATAAAATACATTTTAGATGGGTTACTTACTATTATATTTTCATTCATGTTGATCATAAAAATAGGTAAATACTTACCTTTCCTATATAATGATAGCTAATTTTTCTTATTATAATAACAAGTGATTTCAAATGTTATAAATAAAGATGCAGTAATCTTCAGATCAGAGTTTTGTGAAAATGCTCTTTGTGATTTACTTGAAATGAAATTGATGCTGTGAAGTTGTGAAAAGGTTAAACCCCCTTTTTTTCTGTGAGTGGAAGTCATTAATTCCTCCATTCAAGTCTGTGTGTGTGCACGCGTGTGAGGTTGTGTAATGCTGACTGTGTGATGAACACACACCTTAAGCAAATGAATACAGGCTAAACTGGCCTATATCACCACCTGGGAAATGAGCCAGCAGTGGTGACACAGCAGGTTGGAGAAATCAGTTGAGGTCTATGCACTCCTAAAATGTCAATCATTGGTAAAGTAAAAACTGATTCAGAGCAGATTTTCAAAGTGCCGCCTGAACCTCGAGGAATATCAGAGGAGAGAGACGAGGGGAAGAACAGGAAAGGAAAAAAAAGAACAGGAAAACTAAACTATTCATAGGAGAAGCTATAACTGTGCTGTTCAGCCTCAAATCACCAGGGCTCACATTCAAGTTAAACTCAACCATGTTTGAAAATATTTAAGACATATGTAAGAGTATAAATTGCGTTTCTTGTAATACTTGCTTAAGCTGAAAAACAGCTCCCCAGTGAGAGTCTTAAAGGTCATTATAAACAAACCTCAGTTACACTGAAGTTTGGGCCAACACCTAGAATCTGTCAAATTTCTGGTGGATCAGTTGTGACTCTAAAATGTCAGTTGCTCTCCACAGAACAAACAACATAGGTAGATGTTGATATGGGTACAGGTTTAAATGCCCAAAGTACCCACACTGGTGTTCTGAATGGTTCCCTCTGCAGTTACTGTGGGTGAAAGGAATTTGCCGCTGGACTTCAAATCACAAGGCCGTCAAATGTCCAGCCAGCTGATTTGGCAGAGAAAGTGGGAATGACCTCTCATTCAGAAACTTTTGATTGTTTATGTAACTCTAGGGTTAAACACAGCAGCAGAGAGAAGAGTGTGGGGTTGGTGCTCAGCTGCAGTAAGTGCAGGCACACACACGCACGCACACACGCACGCACGCACGCACACACACACACACACACACACACACACACACACACACACACACACACTCAGTCGAGATGTTTCTGAGTTTCAGACGATCGTTTTGTTCCGACAGAAACATGACTCAGCTGATTTCACCTCTAACCACTGAAAGCGATGGTGGCCAGTTCATCTCTGAAAGCAGCTCCTCTATGTGTGAGGCTGTGGCTACTTCCTGGACTCTTGCACACAGACGCTCGTGAAGCCATTTTGCTTCCCCCTCTTATTTA